TCTCCACACAAGCTCCACATATATATACAGTACAGCTCCTCCCCCCTGATGTCCCGCCTTCCACTCCCCATAGGATGGAACTTTCCCTCCAAACCCATGACAGACAGGTACCATCAGTGCTGTATGTAACAACCACCTCCTTCCATATGAGCCTACTCGGCAGTTCTAGCCAGGGGGCCCTTTTGAAAGAGGTAAGGAGGTAAGAGGGATGGCTTGTAGACAAAGGGCCTTTTCAGAAGCTGCCCCCAGACTATGGAACACCATCCCAAGTCAGATTTGTCTGGTCCCAATGCTGATGACATTTTGGCACCAGGTCAAAACCTATCTGTTCCAGAAGGCTTTTAATTGAAATAATATCAACTGTGGGTCCTGATGGCAATTTTTAGAGTATCTATTTTAATTGTTTTGTTTTATCTTTTTATTGTATTTGAATTATATTTTAATTGGGTAGAGTGGGCGGCATATAAGTTAAATAAATAAATAAATAAATAAATAAATAAATAAATAAATAAATAAATAAATAAATAAATAAATAAATAAATAAATAAAGTGCATTATGTGTAGCAGTGGTCCCCAACCTTTTTGACACAGCGGACCGGTTAACATGCGTGCTGGTGTGTGCGTCTGTGTATGCGTGTATGTGTACAGGAGTATGTCTGTGGGGGCAGGGGGCATCAGGGGAAAGGCGTCCGTGCGTGCATGGAGGGGGTTGTGTGCGCATCCATGCATGTGGGGGGCGTGTCCATGCATCCGTTGGGGTGTGTGTGTGCATGCGGGAGATCTGTCTCTGCGGCTCAGTCCTGCCAAGGCCATGGACCAGGGGTTGAGGACCCCTGATGTATAGGATAAAGCTCTCTGTGATACATTTCCTTTATAGCATTGACTGGGGTGTATGAATGGCAAGCTTAAGTCAGCCACCTGGTATATATGAAAAGAGATTATGTAAGTGACTTTGTGGGTGCTTTGGAAATATGCCCAGGAACAGTAAGTAGTAGTTGTTGTCCTTATGTGCCATCAAATTGCTTCCAACTTATGGCAACCCTATGAATGAGTGATCTCAAAAATGTCCTTTCCTCAACAGCTCATATACTGCAAACTGAAGCTGGTGGGTTCCTTTAAGGAGTTAATTCATCTCATACGAATATTTGGTCTCAGATAGACTTCTTTAAATTATTAGTATTATCTAGACCAGTGGTTCTTAACCTTTGTTACTCGGATGTTTTTGAACTGCAACTCCCAGAAACCCCAGCCAGCACAGTTGGTGGTGAAGACTTCTGGGAGTTGCAGTCCAAAACTCCTGAGCAACCCAAGGTTAAGAACCAGTGATCTAGACAAAACAAAGCATTTAAATCTCACAGATTTTTTGTTGCTGTAGGTTTCAACAAATGTCAGCAGTCAGCCAAAGAAACAAGTTGCTTAAATTTGCCTGAGTTGAACCAGACATTTTGGAACAGCTCAAGTTTAAACCAAGGGACCATTGCACTGGAGCCTCTTTTGGATCTCATATGTGTATGTAAATGTTGAAATACATTCAGTTAAAATGTTTCTCCTGCTACTACTGTTTACATTTGGTCGTTCATTTCTCTGTTCTTTTGTGCAACAATGTTTTTAAATTATTAAAATAATTCCTCTAAAAGGTGACGGCATTGGAAAACAATGGCTGAAATCTTGTTTGTAGCATGCTCTCAAGTCTAACTTTCCATCAATTTGTCCCCGGTAAACAAACTGCCACTGCCGCAAATAGAAAGATATACTTGGGCTAATGCGATACACGGTATTTCAGCTGATGTTTTTTGTAATAAATGTTGGAATGACATTCAGTAAGCATTTTAATTTTAATTTAAAAGCTGGCCAAATGACCAAAGCAGTTAAATCCGCAATAAAGATACACAGATTTATTTAATATAAAACCTGCTTGTTAATAGTTTTAGAATTACTGCTGTATTAGCCTATGACAGATTGTCCAGCCTTTGCAGACAAACATAGCAAAAGTTTGTAATTAGCTCCGTAATTCCCAGCTAATATCAAGTTGCTTTACCAATGCTATCCATTCTATTGCTGTGAGCAGAGAATGTTACTTACCTTTGTCAAAAATTTCCTTCAGCACTCCTCTCTTGATAAGTTCTTCTCTGCTTTGCCTCATTGATATTTTTCTTTCAAGTGCTACCAAAAAGATAAACCAAAATCATTGTTACAATAACAAGACAATTTAAAGGGTGACGTATTTTTAAAGAATCTGAAAATCCCTGTTGATTAAAAAAACCCTTATTCACATACAGTACTTGCACACAACTTACTACATATTTGCTGATCTAAACAATAAATAACAAATAAAGCTTTGTTCTTCCCATATATTTATGCATCTTAAAACAAAGTACAAATTAACCAACAAGGTGCCAAATCTTACACAAATTAACTGAGTTTAAACTGAGGGATCAAGCTGCTAGTAATGTTTATGATGACATGTGCCAACATTTATAGCTACACATATGGTAATTAGAGCCAACTTCTACCTCTGCTTATATTTTAAGTTATATTCTAATTTCCTGGTTTCCAGTATTCCCCCACTGGGTGAACTTCACATTCTCCCAAATAGTGCCAACCTAGTGACAACCACTTCACCTTTCTACATCATGCCTGGCTGAAAATCAGCATGGACACACACACACACCCCGTCACCTTTATAAAAAGGTAATTATACATCACATTGGCTGTGTGTGTGTATGTGTAATCATTATAATGGCACATGCCAATAGATTTGTTGGGAATGTTTTGTCTTGGGTTTTTTGTTTCCAGAAACAAAACCACACACAGCAGTGAATGAAACCTGGAAAAACTGTTTAGTACAATGTGATGGTGTACTGTCTATTTCCGACTGTATTCCACAAGACAAAAGTGCATATAGAGAATCAAAATTTTGCTCTGTAGTGATGAGGCTTAAATGCACCATAAGGTCTTGATCTAGTTGTCATTATAATGCATGGCAAGAGTCCGCCTGATACAAGATCGCATCAATGAATTATTTATTTCTACATAGGTGACCTTTTAGGAACTCTGAAAACCTCTTCCTTCCTATTCATTGCAAGAGATAATTGCATATGCCATGGCAAATGTATTTCTTAGGCTGTCAGTTTTTGCTGAATTTATCACCAAAATACTAGCTCCCGCTGACAGGCAGGTGTGGCGTCTCTGTGATTTTGTCAGGTACTAATAACCATTTCAAACATTCAGTTTCCTTTCCCCCCCAGCCCTCTAGATATTTATTGCAATAGGTACGGGGTGCGTATTATTTTTATAGCTGATATTACAGTATATCTCTTGCTGTTGTATGCTCAAAACAACCTTCTGTTTGTCCACTGGTTCTTGTTCATTTTCCCCATGTCTTTTATGCCTTGGTGCAGGTTTATTGGACTCTCCCTTGTTCCCTCTCCTTACTCACTGCTTAGTCATTTAACTCCCTGTTATCACCATGTCCTAATGTGGAGGCTATAAGGAAAATGTCACCACCACCACCTCATTGATGAGCTAGCACTTGATTAACAGGACTAAGAACAGGATGTAAAGGTAAAGGTTCCCCTTGACAATTTTTGTCCAGTCGTGTTCGACTCTAGGGGGCGGTGCTGATCCCCGTTTCCAAGCCATAGAGCCAGCGTTTTGTCCGAAGACAATCTTCTGTGGTCACATGGCCAGTGCGACTTAGACACGGAATGCTGTTACCTTCCCTCCGAGGTGGTCCCTATTTATCTACTTGCATTTGCATGCTTTCGAACTGCTAGGTTGGCGGGAGCTGGGACAAGCGACGGGAGCTCACTCCGTCACGTGGATTCGATCTTACGACTGCTTGGTCTTCTGACCTGCAGCACAGGCTTCTGCGGTTTAGCCCGCAGCGCCACCACGTCCCTTAGAACAGGATGTAACCTTGCAGGAAGATTCTGTCACTGACCCTGGTACTTACAGAGTTCAAGGTGAATCCGTAGATACATATAACCTTCCCAAGATCAATACCTCAGAAAATACCTCCCATGAAGAAGTCATGGGTTGGGAAGGAACCAATATATCGTCACTGGTCTCTCAGACCCACTACTAGGGAACCACCACAAGAGCCAAGGGAATAGGATGCCCAAATGGAAGCTCAGAATCAGAGGTCCAATGCCCATAAGCAGTATGAGATCTTTCATCCCTGATCTCCATCCATGAAAAAGAAGCCAGATTCTCTGTGTGCTGCAAGTGAAGGTTCTATTGACAGGTCAGAGTGAGGATGGGAGTTGAGCATAACTAGCTATAAATCTGTTGTGCTTTGGCTCAGCTTACGTTGAAGTAACAACTCATCTAATTGAATCTCTCTTTTTTTGATAGGAAACCCCACCCCAACCCCTTCCCATAACGTGAAAAACATCGATCCTTGACTTGCCAAAAAACTCCCTGACTACTGTTTGGTCAATCAAAATTTTACTGCATAGTAGCAATGATAAGAATGAGACAATAAGGTACTATCCATTCTCTGCTCACAGTTGTGAGAAAAAAAAGCTGTCTCAACTGTCATCTAAAAGTGTCTAATACTAGCGCAAATTATGTCAAAGATATGCTTAGTTTGTAGTGTACCGATTCTGGACACCACAATAATTCTGCAGGGTCATAAATAAATAAATAAATAAATAAATAAATAAATAAATAAATAAATAAATAAATAAATAAATAAAGGCATGTACAAGCACTGAAAAATACAGCAACATTTAATGAGGGACCCTTTGCAACATGTTTTGATTCGAAGCAGAACCCTCTACATAATTAAGATATGAATGAAATATTGCTGAGAACAGGATGGTGAACTGAAGTACAGTGGGGTCTTGACTTGAGAACTTAATCCGTATTGGAAGGCGGTTCTCAAGTCAAAAAGTTCTCAAGTCAAATCTGCATTTCCCATAGGAATGCATTGAAAACCATTTGATCCGTATCTGCTCTTTTCCGTCCATAGAAACTAATGGGAAGCTGCTATTCCGCCTTCGACCACTAGAGGGGGATATTTTGTTTTTTTTCCTTAGGTCAAGAAAGGTTCAGGGAAGGCAGGGAAAATACAGCCCAGGCAGTACCAGGCAGTCTGAAGACTCCCAATCCACTCTCTAAACGCTGGGAGGAGTGAGGAAGCAGACAGGCACCCTTTTCACTGGCCAACAGTTAACCGAAAGTTCAAATTTTGCACTTTCCCTGCCTCCCACGTGGGTTTTTTTCAGTTCTTAACTCAAATCTAAGTACTTAAGTCAAGTCAATATTTTCCTATGAGACCGGTTCTTAAGTCAAAATGTTCTTAACTCAAGTCGTTCTTAAGTCAAGACCCCACTGTAGTAGAATGTTTCAGACTGTGAGTGAGGAGGGGGATTACAGGATTGAATCCGATATTCATCCCAATTTAGACCAGACCTGTTGAAATCGATGGAACTTATGTAAGTGATGATTATCAAGTGCCATCATTTCAACAGGTCTGTTCTAGTTAGGACTAATATTGGCTTTAGGCCACAGTTTAAAGGAGTGGGCTCACAACATTTGGCTGGTCTTGCTGGCCACACCAAAGTTTGTCGTTGCCAGCCTCACAGCACTAGTTTAAGTAATCCCTCCCACCTCCATTTTTCCAGTGGAGAGGTCAGCAAGAAAGAGTGGGAAGCAAGTTCATGACTGAAGCTAATTCCCCTCCCAATTCTTTTTTAAAAAATCGAGCTGTATGTTGAGCATTAGCTCTCAGACACACTTTTTACTAATTGGGATGACATACTGAAGAGCCAACAAGACACATTCACCTGTTAAAAATAATTAGAGAGCATGACAGCAATTTAAAAAGTGAAAGCTTCTCAAGAGTCTTATACACAGGGTATCATTTCAGGCTCAGCTGTGAAGAACATAAATAGCAGGTAGGTTGATGTTGGTGATTACTTGTTCAAAATACACTTTTCTTGAGATCCCCTCTGGGCACAGCTATGTTTTTTTTTTTCTAGCTATTACTCCAGACGATATCACAAATGGTTCTTGTGCTATGTTGGTAACCAATACTTTACTCACAAGGAAGTGATTCTTTTGTACCCACTGGTAGAGAAAAGCAACTTATTAAAGCAAAAGCAAAGCGTGCTGCTTATATACCGCCCCATAGCGCTTCAAGCTCTCTTGGGGTGGTTTACAATTTAATTATGCAGGATACACATTGCCCCCCCCCAGCGAGCTGGGTCCTCATTTTACCGACCTTGGAAGGATAGAAGGCTGAGTCAACCTTGAGCCGGCTCCCTGGGATTGAAGCCCAGGTCATGAGCACAGTTTTGGCTGCAGTACAGCAGTTTAACCATTGCGCCAGGAGGCTCTTAACAAACCATACATTTCCTTTAGTATGGAGCAACGAATAATAATGATCCGTTGTCAAGTTGGTTCTGACATAGTGGTCCTTTCCAGGGTTTTCAGGCATAATCAGAGGTGGTTTTCCATTTCCTTCTTCTGGGGTGCTCTGGGACTGTGTACCTTGCTCAAGGTCATACAAGCTGGCTCTTTTCCTACAAGGCACAATGGGGAATTGAACTACAGACCCATGAATCTGCAACTTGATGCTCGATCTCACTGGTGGAGCACATGCATTTTTGCCCTTACTCAAAATTAATCCTAAGAAGGTTGGTCCTAGCAGGTAGAGCAGGGGCTTTGAAGCCTCTGTGACTATGGTGCAGATCAGTTTTCTTATACTAGCAATGTATACAAGGTGAAAAAGTCCCATTTGACTTCAACAGCAGCCTTTTTTGTTTTTGTTTTTTAATACAGCCCGACAACACAGGAAGGGGACCATGCAGCTTGGGAGCAAAGCAAAACACAAATGAGCTAGAAGTATGTCACTCATAGTCATACCATAGAACTGAAAATCAATCTAAGAAGCAGCCATGCACAGGAAAGGAGAAAATATCCACATACGAATACAACTTTCTATTATGGTTCTCACAGACCAGTAAGAGACAGATTGACCCAGGCGAGGTGTGTGTGTGTGTGTGTGTGGAAATAACAAGCAAATGGTAGGAGAGATTGTTAATTAATTAATTAATTAATTAATGGAAAAAACACCACCAATCAAAGGTTTAAAAATGTGATGCTAACTGAGTACAATGGAATAATTATTGTTGAGAAATGTACTTCACTT